GAGAGAGAGAGAGAGAGAGAGAGAGAGAGAGAGAGAGAGAGAGAGAGAGAGAGAGGCCTTATTTGAGTGAAGGTAAGAAATTGTATCTGAGACGGTCGGTCATAGATATATATATATATGTGTATATTGACGATATATATAATATATGTATATATCGTATATAAAACTCCGACGAAACAGTTTGTCACAGCCCCTCGTTTGTTGTCCTCTTCTCCCTCCCTCTCTGCCTACGGTTTACCGGCCAGTTCTATTTGTGACGATATATATATCGTCAAACAGATGTATAGGGTTCAAGCCTCCTGATGAGTCGGTGAAACAGTTTGTCATAGCCCCTCGTTTGTTGTCCTCTTCTCCTCCTCTCTGCATACGGTTTACCGGGCAGCTCTGTTTGACGATATATATATTTATTATTTATATTCTTTTATATACATATATCTATCGTTATAGAGATATAATTTATAAATATTGTACATGCATTAAGTATATACTAGATATGTATATATAATATATATCGACAAACAAAACTGCCTACGGTAAACCGTGGGCAGAGAGGGAGGGAGAAGAGGACAACAAACCACTGGCAGGGGCTTTGACAAACTGTGTCGTCAGAGTTTCACCTACCTACTCATCAGCAGGAGGCTGAACCCTCAAAAACTGTCTTCAGATTCCCCTAACTGATTACACTGTATGTGATAATCCCCCTTAACCCCGGTTGTGGTTAAGCATCAACGACTGCCCAACAACTGATACCCTGATTATATTCATTGATCTTGCTATCTGATGATGGAACTCCTTGTTGGGACTACACTTGTTGGGACTTTTCTTGTTGGGACTGTGCTTGTTGGCACATTATGCTTGCTGGGACTGTGCTTGTTGGGACTTGATGTTGGGTTGTTGGGACTTGTTGTTGGGTTGTTGGGACTTGTTGCTGGGGTGATTATGCTTGTTGGTACTATACTTGTTTCTTGCTACACAGACAAACAAGACAACTGCAAGGATCTTCCCTGCTGTACCCGATGTGGAAAGTCCGGAGTTCAAGGTCAGGATGGACAGACTGGTTGTTCTCAACAAACAGCTCCTCAGCATTGGAGGCAGCGATGGACCTGCCGTGCTGAAGAACTTCCAGAAGCTTCCCATCATCGCCTCCATGTTGTGGGAGATGCTTGTCATCTTCAACATGAAGCCTGTTGACTGTGGCTCCATGGACTTCTACGAATTAGAACCGCAAGTTGTATACTGATTGTCAAGCTGACTTGGTTGCTCTGTCTGTGTGTGTCTGTGTGTGTGTGTGTGTGTGTGTGTGTGTGAGAGAGAGAGAGAGAGAGAGAGAGAGAGAGAGAGAGAGAGAGAGAGAGAGAGAGA